GTAGTTTTTGTGTATATTTCTTATTAGTTTTCTTCCCCCAATGTTTTATGTTTTATACCAATGATATTTTACGTTCTGAATGGATTAAATGTGTTATATGTAATTAAATAATTTAAAATAAATTTATTCTATAATAACGGTAAAAAGGTCAATGTATTACTCTTATCATCATCGAGAATCTAATGTTTGTTTTTTTTTTGCGCTATAATTTCTTTGCGCTGATATCCGTACGATGTAATCATATCATATAAATATTATAAATGCGAAAGTTATGATGGATGGATGGATGATGGCGTTTGTAGCCTGAACAGATCTCCATGAAATTTGGCACAGGTTTAGAGCATAGTCTGAAAAACACATAGGCTACTTTTTATGCCGGGAATAGTTACAGTTCCCGTGGGATTCATTAATTTAGTTTTTTAATGTTTATTCGATAATTCTACAACGGTTCAACATATTAAATTGAAATTTGGCACATATATAACACACAGTCTGGAGTACACATGGGATAAGGTTCATCACCTATAAATGTCCGGTTCCCGAGGGAGGCGTAGCTTTTTGTTATTTAAATCGTTCGTATGTTTTTTAATAACACGCGGAAAAAGCCGCGGGCAACAGCTAGTATTGACATAAACGTATTAGTATCAGTAGAGTTATTAATTAACTTTTAAGATTGTTATCGGTTTTTTAAAGTGCAAATATTTTTTTATTTTCAATTGTCTGTTTTTACCGAAAGATTCTCGTATTAATAATTCATACAAGACATGTATTACCTTTTATCGAATTAATCGTAATAAGTATAATAAGTTTAAGGCACTATCGAGACTTTTGTTTTTTTGAACAATATTTATATCTTCAACCTTTTTTCCAGCTTGATTGTTGAAAAAACTTCCTGAGTACCAAAGTGCAGGGAACGTACTAACGAAGACGAAGACAACAGATTGTGTATTAGGTGATATTGGTGACTTAGTTTTAAGAAAAGATAACATTATTCTGCACATATTGTATAACCGCATGTATTGTTTGATTTAATAATAACGCCAAAGATAGTAGAAGTAGTAAATATAATTATATATTTGTTAATACCTTGTTACTGATATTGCTATAATTTTAAATTTAAAATTTATCTATAAGCTTATTAATTAAACATACGTCAAAACAAAATAAACAAAATGGAAACAAGATCGATGACTAGGCGAAGGAATGAAGAAAGTGAGAATAGAGGTGCATCTGACGCCAGCTCCAATAGCGACGATTCTATGACGTTAGATTATAAACTGCATCAGATTTTCTTTAAACACTCTGCCAACCTTAACGTCGTACATCTCAACGCTCAAAGCATCCCCGGTCATTACCTCGACTTCCTCCGTACGTTTACAGGGGCTCATAGCATTGACGCTATACTAGTTTCAGAAACGTTTTTAAAGCCCGATATGTCATCTGTTCACTACGGTCTACCAGGATTTAAACTTATACGCAATGATAGAGAAGGTAAGTCCAGTGGAGGAGTGGCTATTTATCTTCGCCAAGAAATACCTTTTAACTATGTATCTCGCTCACCCCGGGTATATTCTAAATCCGCGGAACATCTCTTCATTGAGATCTTCCCTGGTGGCACCAAAGTTTTACTTGGCGTGTATTATTCTCCGTCTCGGACTATCAAGTATTTCCAATCGTTCGAAGGTTTATTGAACCGATTACGCCCCGAATATGAACACGTTATGATTATGGGCGACTTCAATACGTGCTTATTAAAACAAAACAAGCGAGCTCTTGATTTGGTCCGCATATTAGATTCGAATTCATTATACATTCCCTCACTGGATGCCACGCATTTTGCACCCAATACTAAACCTTCTTTGCTTGATTTGATGATCGTTTCTAATTCAGATAACGTTGCAAAGTACGGCCAGCTGACTGGTTGTTTCTCTTATCATGACATACTATTCATGTCATACAAAGTACCGTCGCCTAAACAGAATCTCTGTAGCAACTTTGTAATGGAGATTATTCCGGCGAATGGTGTAACGCCTACGTCACCTCCCACTCCAGTCTTAGAGCCGTTGTGGCGAATGAGGGATGTTCGAGAAGCTTTAGCTAGGCAACTTAAAGCTAAAAGAAAACTAAAAAGAAAGAGAACCCCAAGTGTATTAATCGATTACCAGAACTCTAGGAGAGTCGTTAGGAACTTAGAATTGAGGCTCAAAAATGAAAGAGCTCGTTTGCTCATATCTCGACGAACAGTTCGAAAAACGAGATGCTTTATGTGTGAACCTCGATCATCGGAAAGGTAGCAATGATTTTGTGTATGAATTTCGGAATCCATGATTTTTAAATGTGACTGTGATTAACGATATACGATTAGTTAAGCTCTATTGGCATTTTCTAGATATTTCAATAAGTTTTAATTTAAGGTTTACATTAACTGTGAGCCACTGTTCCACGTTTGTACAAGGTTTTGCACAATTGTTATCACTATTGTTTAACGGGGAATTAAATTATTGTATGCGTCGGAATAGTGGTAACTCACAGCAACATTTATTATTGACGTTGTGGAAAACAATTTTTATTAGTAGCACGTTAAATTACATAACATTTTTTTAAAGATAAAGTTAATTCGATAAAGTTAAAAAGCCATTTCTACATTCAGTATTTATGATGAATGAAAAGATTTTACATTCAAAGTGTCAGGCGATATTCAGAGGCAGGACTCCACTTGGGACAAATACTCAAATGAAACAGATTTTTGTAACCATCTTTTGAAGACTTGCATACGAATAGTAGATCTGGTTTAATATATGAGTAAAATGATTGTGTTAAAAAGAGAATAATGTTTTAATGTGCATAAAATCAAGACGTGTAAAATGTAACTAATTAGGTATATTCTAAATTGAATTTTTTAATGTATTTTATAATTCATTTACTCGATTGTTTATTTATGTATTGTAGCTCGAAGATTTTTAAACTGCCTTTTAAGTTTTTGTAGCATTCAATGCTTGTAAAAGTCACGTTAAAAGGCTAATACCCTAAAAGGGTGATATTACAGATAAGCAAAAATATTTCGAGATCGGTTATTGGTTTCGGTGGTGTTAAACAAGGTTGTTTCTGTTAAAAGAAACTTTATAGGTTATAAAAAGAAAAAATATAATAATACGTAATTACCAAAAAAAGTATAAAATAAACATGTAAAACATAACTGAAAAAATACATATAACACTAATTTTCAGGTCAGTTTCAGATTTCATATAGTTTTATTTTTTATATTATCACAACTTACTGTAATTAACTTATTTGATAAGAATCTATAGATGTATACAGTTCAATATTAAAATCATATTTCCACTGCCGAAGAAATTGCGTTAACACATTGCCTATGTGTCTTTTAAAGCCCGCGACACACCTTTATTCTTCAATAGTACAACTGTTCCGTTAGAGCGAGCGCACACATTTGACTAAACTATAGCACAATTGTTTAGTCTTTTGTTGATTCCTATCAGTTTTTATGGAAGTGCGTACAGTACTCGATTTTTAGTTGTGCAACTAAACAATTGAATGGGCTGCGAAACAATCGACAATCGCACAACTGTTGTGCGATAGTTGAGTCAAAGGTGGGCACTCGCTCTTAAAACTGACGGTGTGCTGCGGGTTTTATAAAACCGCATAGGCACTTGTATTGTTATCCCTTACGTTCTCTTTGACAGAACAGAGACAACAATACGTGTCAACACACTTGTGTGTTGCAGCATTTGCTTCGACAATTCGAACCCACATTTAATAATAATTGATAAGCCTTATCCATTGATGTACATATTTTCATAACTTATTTACATTTGTATCTGATTTTTTAATAAAGTTTTTTGTCTCTGTTTTTGATTTTTAATTGTGTTCAGTTTTTGTATAGCTTGTCATTGGTGTTTAACCGCAAGAAGGATTCCAATGAAATTTTAGTACGATGACCCAAGGAACGATGTTTTGTAGCCTATTCCATTCAAAAAATAAAAGAGATCCTTAGTTTTTATGAAACTTTTTTTAAAATTTCTGTACTGAATTTACTCATGATGTGACGTGTTAATTGACGAAACAGAGCGGGCGTGCGTATGACGCGGTCCGTGTTAGTGGAAGGGGAAGTCGTAGGCAAATCTTACCGCGCGGCTTATAATTTTGCTATACAAAATGAAATACTTCGTATTATCTTTTGTTAATAACAGGATATAGAGCTTCATCAAAAACGACAGCGCTTAAAATAAATCTTGCATTTTAAACATATCCAACAATTTTATACAGTGACTCTATCCCCTGGTTTTATTTTGCGTAAGTTACTATTTTGAAATTCCTACGGCTGTTGACGGAATTTTGATCGAAATATTGGTGGAGATGGGAGAATCCTAAACGTTTCAACGAAGATGTAAGTAAGGTGATGGTGAAATGCAAAAAAGAAATTGAATTAAGAAGTTATCAAATCGTTTCAATCCGCAACAATTGGTGTCAGTAGTTAATGGCCACACAACGATTATTGAACGACTTGCAAAATGCGACCTGGATTTATAATTTTTTTAAATTTCTATGGAAACCAGTGTTGTAATAGATATTTGTAATAAAACGTATATCCAAGTTTACATCCATAATTTTCCATAAGCAAAGATTTAAAAGTAGTTCTAACGTGTTACATTTTAAGGCTTTTATAGGTTAAATTTATTGAAAGGCGTTTGAATGTCAAACAGCGATGTAAAAAATAATACAGATACTATAAAAATGTTGCCATAATATCGATAGTTTAAAAGATTATATTTCTAATAAAACTTTTATAACTCCCTATTTATCAAATTGATTGAATTTAAATAACACTACTCTATGTTTACTAGCACATTAGCTTTGTTTTTCTATTTCAATAACAAATTATAAAATCGATTTTCAATAAAATATTGAGTATCGATTATTTTAGATTTTTGTATCTGTGCTGTTATCATGTACCAATTGATACTGATAAGATATGGGTGGATAAAAAACTTCGCGGACAGTTTTTACAATGTATTAGTGTTAAGGAAATGTTAAAAAAAGTCTATTTAGGATATTCTTAGTATTAAGGTGATTTGGTGGATTATTTTTCATTCTCAAGATGAACAGTAATATTACGAAATAAAACAAAAAAATGTGTCCAAATGTCTAACGCAATAATATTTTATACAAATAAAAATAGCAACTTCTTTTTTTATACGAATTTTAAATATTAGAAAAATTGTGTCACATAGTGTACGGTACCAGGTAATTATACATTTGAATAAAAATAAATTTAACCACATAACCACATATTACCTTCCTTGTAATGTTTATTACGTAACATTAAAGAAAATCTTAATTTAAACTGAAAAATACTATGCTCGATTGAACCACGATACTGAGTTGTCAAATTGTGACGCGGAATGTGAATTATTTTCCCTTCCCATCATTTGTTCCGCGCATTCTCAGCGCTCGAAAACCCGCAAGGAAATGAAATGCTTCTTTGAGAAATAATACATTTGCTGATATTTCATAACTGCATAGTAATTAAAGTTATACAAATTTAATTTTAATAGTGGTAGAGTCCGGTTTAAAATTTTCGCACGAATGGGTCGACTCGCCCGGTGAAATATCACGACCACACAGAAGAGACGAGAAGTGGGAGTAATTCCGCGTTTCGACTGATGAAAGTGGTGCTTAATTTGCAATAGATAATTTCAACTTAAGATGAATATAAATTAAATGACAATAAAAGTTCTCAAAAGTAGAGTATTAGCATGTTATTGGGATATTTTAATTGATTTCTTTTCTTTTTTCAGTTAATGAAAACGTTTCAACGGCAGATAACCTCAAATAGATAATGAGGTTAAGAACCAACGAAGAGAAAGCAACGTGTTTTTGGAATAATAAAGATGTTTGTTATGGAATTATATTTTTTAATCAAAGCCCCTTAAACAAAGAAATCAATAATTTAACTGCACAATTAGAATTATTAAAATCGAGGTATCTAAACTTTTTGTAATCAACCATGAGCAATTGAGCAACTGGCCAGTTAGATTTTTTTTAACTTTATTATTATTTCACTATTATTAACGAAGCCACTTATAATATTTTATAGTTATTCTAATTGTTGATATCAAATATAATTTTAAACCAAGCTATTTTTTTTTATTTCAAAAGCAAAAAGCCTTAAATATTAAAGGAATTGTCCATGTTTTGTATGGGGGTGGTTTAGTCAACTAACAGAACTCTTACTAAAATTATTAATAGTTTAAATTGTAAAGATAATTATAACATAAATAACAAAATTTAAGACACCGCTTTTTTTTTAAATAGACACTCAAAGTTTTTAATTCTGGTATCATCGTTTAATTGTGGGAACACTGAACTTGTTTTTCGTTCTTCATCTTTTGTATATACGAGTAAATGTTTTCCTGGTAATTGATTTTCTAAAAAAGGCCCACATTTTTACAACAGCTTTGTGAAAAGTTGAATAGACAGATGTTACCAACAAATATTTTTAATATTGAAAAAGGAACATGTTATCAATTTGTTGTCGTAAACGAAACCGCAAAATCAGTCGTTAGATAAGATAGTGGTATCAATGCAAGAGCTACTCTAAATGGAGTATATAGGTGTGGCAAGTCAAAGTCCAATGTTTGGCCCTGACTGACAGTTATTCATGTAAAGTATCCTTTTTCCTGACCATTAAAGGCATGTGTGAATAACTTTGCTTATTGCATCTAACATACCTCACACACAATTTACTTAATCTAAAAACAAGGGACAGCATCAACAAATTTTTTATTATATTCGAGTAGCACTCCGACCGGCCGTAACTAATACCGAAAATTACATCTTTATTTTATTTTCAGACTAGCATTCGCCCTTGACTCCGTCTGTGTGGTATTAAAAAAAAACAAAAGAGAATAGCCTATGTGTTCTTCCAGACTATCCTCTACGTCTATAACATTTTTTTGAGATCCGTTCAGCAGTTTAGGCTACAAATCTCTAACAAACATCCTTATAAACTTTCGCATTTAAAATATTAGCAAGAAGAAAGATAAAAGCAATAATAATCTAAGTAATAAAAAAGATACGAACGAAATATAAACATAGATAATTGTAAACAAGGCCAAATATTAAAATTGCTATGTATATTAAAATATCACGAAATCTTTATCCTTATCAAAAAATCTTGATTTAATTGCTAGAGAATCTAACGTCTCCATTGAGGGGCTGAGGTTATTCTAGAGGTAAGTCTTCGTCAACATTAAGTCCAATGAAAGTTGTGAGTCTTTCCACGTATGTGAAAAATGATATATGCAGATTGCATTAAAATGTTTTCCTACCCCCCAGAAAGTCGGGTAAACGTATAAATGAAATTCGAAAAATGGAAAACATCGGTACATCGTAAGACTCGAACCCAGGACTTGCGGAGTCTAGTGCTTAACTCCTGAGCCAACATAGATCTAAAGAAGCTGGAAAACTAAATAAACAAATTATCTTAGTTAAATTAAACATACATACATAGATAGGCATGAGGTAAAAAAAGAATATCCCAATGACGGATTTTTACATTATAAGTGGATTACGATAAATGACGTAGTAACATATTACTATCAGAACACAATATGGCATGATTATAAATATCGACTCCCTATTGGTCGAGACTGGAGGTAAAGCATTGCGTGTATAACGATTGAATCACCTGTTTCAGTGGAGAATTGTTGCAACATCACTGGAAACTAGATATCTGTAGATAATCATTTGGAATGCGAAATTGTTTTTTTAATAGACACAATTTTTCTTCCAAAGGGGCTTCTAGTTTTAATCTAATAACGACTACGTTCGCGTGAAATAAAAACAAAGGTAAGTAGCCTATGTGTTCTTCCAGACTATCCTATACATGTATGCCAAATTTCATCGAGATACGTTTATCAGTTTAGGCTACAAACTCTAACAAACATCCATCTAAACCTTCGCACTTATAATGTAAGTAAGGAGTAGGATTTAGGCAATAGGTGATAAGTAATTATTAAGTTATTTGTCTTAAAATATCACAGTTTCATCTACATTCGTTTCATGACAAATCATTATTAAATATTAACTTTAACGGTTTAAATCGCAGTAATCTTTGAAAATAACAAAATAAAACATAAAGCTCGCTTTTTCACTTAGTTTTATAGTGACAATTATAATTATTGCTTGTTCTTTATTATTTATCTACAATTGTTTATTTTTACACGATAAGATAAAACTCTTGTTGTAAAATAAACTTCAGTAGCAGATAAGATTGTTCTAGTTTACAATTTTTAATAACAATTTGGTTAGCTCAATTATTTGTTCCGATGAAATAATTCTTAAAATAATCATACTAACATTATAAATGCGAAAGTTTAGATGGATGTTTGTTAGAGTTTGTAGCCTAAACAGCTGAACCGATTTCGATGAAATTTGGTATAGTTGTAGAGGATAGTCTGGAAGAACAGATAGGCACACATATTCATTTCTCTTTTTTTTAATTCCACGCCGACGGAGTCGCGGGTAAAATCTAGTTATCAATAAAATTTAAGTCTGTTAATAAAGCCTTGTAGAAATATAAATTTTGTTAGAAGTTTAGTCAATACTTAGAGATATTCATTTGTTATTCTTGACAGAATGGAAAAACACATTAACATAACCAAATGTTATGAAAAGTACACTTTAAATGTCTTATCAGTGGTTGTCGGAAAATAATCTACAATTTTAAGTTAATATATAAATAATCATTTGCATAGATAAATTAACTAATCAATCCGTCGGAGTGAGGAGCGGTTTACAGAATTAATTCCGAAGCCAGATCATGTACATGGTAACTATCCTTCATTGTGGGCGTGTGTACGAGTATGTCGGAGATAATAAAATAACAATCGCGTAACATTAGAAACACCATCCTTAGTCCACCATATTAAATGAAAACTGCAAAACACGATCAAATCGGATTACAAACATTTACAGAGATTAACCAATTTATTTTTTAACAACAAAACGCATCATTCCACCATTCAAAGACAACTGTCATCAGTCATTCTATCGTCGTCTTAACATGGACATGCACATGCACATCATGCACATTCAGCCAGTACTCAAAATTATTAGTTGCCAGTAACTTTAATCGTTTAAAAATTAACAATTATTTGGCCTAATTAAATCTACATTTTGTTAAACTTTTGCCAAAGTAATGTTACCAAGGCGAATCCAATATACATGAGTCAAAAAATTATCTAAATAATTGAATATACACGGAGTTGCCCTCGATATATTTTCCTCTACTAAGTAGATATGCTGATAATGTTTATCAACGATTTGTGACGGCAAATTTTATCGATCATTCAACCAGGCATTCCTGAAAATTGGTTTTAAATGTGAAAATTGTTATGTTTGCGGTAAATTATTTATGCGAAAAAAATGTACAAAAAGAATTGCGTTAATATCTTGACATTGTACTGTTTTTATTTTATTAAAACATTATTCTGTAAAAGCCCACAGATAAGGGCGCTAAATTCAGGTTTTTCTTTACAGTGGTAGAGCCTGCTTTAACATCTTCGCACGAATGGGTCGGTTTGTCCGGTGCAATACCACGACCACACAGAAAACAGGCGTGAAGTGGAAGTAATTCCGCGTTTCGTCTGATGAGTGTGGTGCCGGAGGCCTAAATTTAGTCCCTTTCCCTTTCCCTTTCCACCCCTTTCTTAAGAGGAAAGGATGGGAAGGAAAAGTGGATTTGACGGTGGTGGAGACACATAGGAAAGGGAAATGTGCTCTTTATGTGCGTCTTCTCCTCCGTCAAGAAAAGGTAGGCAACGCATCTGCAATTGCGGATGTTTATAGGCAGCGGTCGCTTTCCATTCTGGTGGATTCAGGTGGCCGCTTGCTCGTTTGCCAATCTTAGTTTTATAAGAAAAAAAAAACTTAATCCAGTTCAACAAACAGATTTTTGTCTTTTTATACTGAAAGAGGGGCAAACGAGTGGCGTGAACACCGAGGTAATCAACGACGCCCATGGACATCCGCAACACCAGAGGAGATGAAATGTCTGAAATGTATACTTCAATTTATAATAATGTTGTTTCAATATGTATGTAGTTTTAATTGACTCTCTTTGGTTTGTCCTATCGTCTGTCATATTCGGATTAAGATAATCTGTATGCAACAGAGTTTTAGACTATTCTATTTAATTAGCATAAAAATCTTGATACTTTCATTCCGAAACTGTTACGCCAGCCATTTCTCAAGGTTTATCGAAGTTTTTACAATCTGCTTCATACATATCTAATCGCTTATCATCGTAATAAACACTTCAATTTGTATA